AAAAAAAAAAAAAAAGAAGAGAGACAGAGGGCGAGAGAGCGAAGAAGAGAAGAGGATTCAACACCAAATTCATCATTTAAGGTATCATTTCTTGTCTTTTTTGTCTATTTTTACTGTTTGAAGGATGAAGAGATGTAGATGGTGTGTTTGTAACAAAAACATGATGTTAAGGTTAACAATTTTTTTCTATTTTTCATTTGTTTTGATATTTAATTTGTGAATTTGTAATGATTGAGATATGTTGATGAATTGTTGATATGTTTGTGTGATAAATTGACGGGTTATTTTGAAATTGATTAGAGTTTTGTAGTTTGTTTGAGAAACTATGAATTGAAGGTGTTCGATAAAATGCCTCAAATGGATTGTTGTACATAATTGCTTGTAGTTGGATGATTTGAACGGTTCGTTTCGATTATGTTAGCCCTGTTTTTGATGTTCCGTCTATTTTTTTATTTTGTTCTAAATTAATCTTTCTTATATGTAATGATTTGTTTTTTTTATTTTTTTTTATTTTTGTAGAAAATGGCATCCTCCTCACAGCCGCAGCGCTACACCGTCCATCCCGGTCCGATGGATCGGTCCCTTCTTTACCTTCAGGACAACCACCAGTCGCAAGTTGTATACGACGATGTGGAGGGATATCGTCACGGCGTGGTTAAAACCCGCCGTTTCGACAGTCAGTTTTGGAAGGCGTTGGAGGTACAACATTACAAAGTATGAGAGGTGATCGAAAGGACGGGTTTCGGGCTGCTTTTCAGAATGGGCAGAATATCGACGGAAAACAGCTTGATTACATGTCTAGTGGAGAGGTGGCGTCCGGAGACGAACACCTTTCACTTTGACTTCGGGGAGGCTACAATAACGCTGCAGGACGTACAAGTCCTTTTTGGTCTCCCGATCGATGGAACGCCGTGTTGGGGACAAACAGTTGACCACGAACCCCACGAATGGCAAGAACACTATGTCGATTATCTAGGGTTCGAGCCCTCAGTCCAGGTAATTTTTTTCCTACATTTTTGTGTTTATTCCATTCATTAATTTTCAATATATATATATAATACTCTCAGGCTGATGACGACCCAGAGGGCACCCCGGAACTTACAGGCCAGTTTTTGAAGACCTCGGCAATTGAAAAGGAGTGCTATAGACCGCTAACAAATGAAGAGCTTCCCTCTCGCTACGAAGAGAGGGCGAGGGCGCTTATACTCTGGTGTATCAGGTCATTTTTCTTCCCCGATCATAGGGCGAATGGGGTCATGCTGTACTGGATGCAGCACTTGCTCGAGATCGATGAGATCAAGCAGTACAGCTGGGGTTCAGTTGTCTTGGCCGGGGTCTATAGAGGGCTCACCACGACCGCCAGAGCTGGGGAAGGCTGGATCAAGAACTGTGTTCAATTGATTAAGGTAAATAAATGTACTTACTTGTTATTACTTCATTCATTTTTTTTTTTATACTTTATCCTAATATATATTAACAAAATATTTATGTCGATATCTGTAGGTTTGGGCATGGGAACGTATCCCTCGTATTAGCCCAAAAATGAGGGATACCAACTTTGACAGAGTCCATAGTTGTCCCTTAGGAGCAAGGTAATCACATTTATTTATATTTAATACTTAAAATATTTTAACTATAAAATTTTGTGATTAAAATTTTTGGTTTTTTTTTTTATATTATGTGATTTTTAAGGTGGGTGGGACAGAGGAATATGAAACACATCAGAAAGGGAACAACCGCTATCCGAGATCAATTAACGTGGCTGAGAGAGAATGATGTAAGATTTTTATTAAGTAATATTGATTATTATATATATTTGTTTTTCGTTTTTTATTTTTCTATAACTTAATAAATATTATTATTTTTTTTTTTACAGTTCAATTGGGTGCCATATAAGCGCCACCTGGACGAGGGTACTCTCCTGGCCTCGTGTACAGAAGGTTCACACCTCTGGATGTATAGAGGGTGGATCTTCTGTTGGGACATTCGTGAGCAGCACCTGACTGATAGGGTCATCCTTCAGTTCGGGTGTCGGCAAGCCATCCCCGACCCTCTGATCATTAGGGGTTTGGCTGAGTACCAGACACACCACCGAGGCCAGAGAATGACTGGGAGGGCATTCTATGATTGGGTGGAGTATCATGGAGCACTTGGGAATGTTTAGGTCGACCAAAGAGCCCAACATGTCCTTCCACATTACCCTGTGGAGTCGTTCCTTGAGCCTGAGCCGGGTTACCTTGATTGGTTTCACTATAGGACTGTGAGACTAATCAGTAATCCTGGCAACAACCCGGTGGTCCAACAGCAAAGAGGATTTCATCCACTGTCCGAGCAGGGGATGTGCAGTGTAAGTGTTAATAAATTGTGTTTTTTTTATTATTCTTATTATTTTTTTTTTGTTTAATGGTAATAATTTTCAATTTTTTTTTTTCAGGCCAATGCCATGGAGGGGGTTTATAACTTGTTATCGACCCTTGACTATAATGCACTCACTCCAGTGCAGCAGTCCATAATCGCAAATGCCCAAAACATGCTCTACAGTGGACTGACTGTCGGAGGACAAGGGGTCACGCAAGGGACGTCATCGAGTCAAGTTCTATCTCAAGAGAGCTATGTCCGACCCCAACCGACGCAGTCGCACCGGGCGAGGCATCGACCTGCTGCCAATATTGGCGGGCATAGAAGACGCTGTGTCCGCGAACTCGATGCCAACACCGTGCCTGCCGACACCGTGCCTCCCAATACCGTGCCTGAGGAACAAGCTGAAGAAGGTCAGATTTTTTTACTTAACTGCAATATGATTTTTAATTTATTTATTTATTTTATTTATTTATTTATTTATTTATTGTAAAGTAGAATTTCTGATTTTCTTAAAATATCATTTATTCAGATGTAGAAGAAGCTGCCATGCCCACAGCCTCGTCTTCTTTGCAGACGTACCAGCGTCGGAAGGGCTCCTGGGAGCGCAGACCTCCGGATCAATTCACTCCTAGCAACTATTAGGAAATTTATGGACATTTTTTTTCTTGACTTTTGTGTAATTAAATTCACACATATTGGTATTTTATGTAAATTATTGTGCTTCAATTTTGTTTGTGGAATTGATATATTTTGGATGAATATTTGGTTGTTGAATCGATTTCGACAAACAGGTGTTCTATTTTTATTTCTATTGTAAAATTGTTGTTTCTGTACAGTAAAACGTGTTTTCATATACGTTTTACCTCTTTTTTTTTATTTGAAAACGTATTTTCAGAATACGGTTTCCTCACGAAAACTGTATTATGAGAATACGTTTTCAATTAAAAAAATCAAAAATTTTACAAATTTTTTATATGTATATAAAATTTATTTTTAAAAAAAAGCGTATATCTAAAATATGTTTTTGTATTTAAAACGTATTTTCGAAAATACGTTTTTTATAAAACGTATTCTGAAAATACGTTTTAATTTAATTTAATTTTCTTAATCACGTTTTATATTAATGTTATTAAGTTAATCACGTTTAAAAATTTAATTTGTTATAAAACGGAACATGATAATACGTTTTACTTTTAAAACGTATTCTCAGAATACGTTTTTTAATGTAAAACGTATTCTGAGAATACGTCTGTTTTGTTTTGGTCGACCCCCTTTTTTTATTTTATTTTTGTCTAGTTAATTTTTTTTTTTTTATTTTGATTTAAATAATAAATTCCATATTTCTGTTCATCATGAACACACAATTTTCTGCACCAATATATTTTAAACAATTCAAGAAATAGAGTAATTCATAAAAACAAGAAGCAATTTCTTTTTTTTTTCTTTTTGGTACAGGGACCTTCCTGTTTCCGGATCCACAGGGGAACCGACTCATCTGGAATCGAGCCGGGTAGGACCACAAGGGCGGCAAAGCTCTACCTCAAGAAGCAATTTTTTTAGTAAACAAACTCATCAAACTCTCTGTACCAACACATTTTAAACAATCCAAACAAATCGTTTGCTGAGTTTTTATTGCATTGAAACACTTTTCTTGACATATACCTATAAAACCTGAAAGGTTACAAAACCTCTTACTTTCATTTACATTTTAATAAATACAAAATTGTTACCACTGAACTAACCATCGTTTGTTTGTTTATCATCCCAACTTCTCTACACACCCGATCAAAAATCGCCACAAAGTTCCTGACCACCATGAAGATCCTCAAAGGATGAGCCTCTTCCCTGGCGAGTCCCCATGGAAATACTCGGTTATCTCCTTCACCAAAGATAGGGTAACACTTTCTTGGTCTTGGATCCTTATAATTTCCTCCTCAGCCCTTCTCATGAACCCGTTCATAGATTTGGAAAACTCATTACTCCTACGAAACCATCATTTAATCTCACAACCTCTCTTATATTCCCGATACCTTTTGAGAGCTTGAAAACATCCCCACAGAGCACCTCAGCATCCATTGTCGCAGCTTTCTTCACGTTTCATTAGCTCAGAACTTAATTTAGAAACAACTTGGAGGCCGAGCTTTCTGCATTTGGCCTCGGCGTTAGTGTTTTCGGTTGTGTTGCTGTTTCTGAGACGAGAACCTTCAGCTTGGATGATCTCCTGAACCACAAAGTGAAGGAGCGTCGTTTTCCAGTCAGCTCCCTTGACGTCAGCAAGCTTTAGGAGGGTGTCGAGCTTGAAGGTATGGGCATCCCCTCTGTTTGTGCCCACATTCATGTGGTTCCCAGTCTTCAACACAGCTTCTAGAAGCTTCAGGAACATCCGGCTCGACCTTAGTTCTTCGCAAGCTCCCTCCAGTGTCGCAAGCGACTTTTTGAGGTAGTCGGCCTCGGATTCAAAATTCGTCACATATAAGCATTGCTTCTACCCTCTTGAACGCGAAGGTATATCGAGAACTGCCTTAAAAATCTTTCAGCAGCCCCAAGCTTGGTGGGCGAAACATCTTCATATTCTTTTAGCTTTCTCTCTTCTTCCTTAGTTGGCGCCATCATCAATAAACTCTCAAAAAGCTCAGGACTTGAGAGTTTTTGTATTGCCTTCTGAGAAACCTTTGCAAACTTCCTCTACGATGACATTGAGCGCCCTCAACAGAATGGCAATATTCTGAGCCTTCTTGGAGTGAAGAACCCTATTACCACCGTCTTGACCTGTAGAGGTAAGAACCTGCATCTTATTTACTTCTTTTGGAGTCAAATTCGAGGTATTTAGAGTCTCAATCATCTCCACCGATACCACCACCTCCTCATTCATGTTTGCTGTTAACTGGAGAAACTTCTTTCCCATCCTTCTTGACACTCTCCAAACCATTTGAGGGCAGCTCGAGAGGAGAAATCACTGAGGAACTCTGCAGAGCCATTGGCCTCAAGGGCGTTACCAGTGGAGGCGGCTCGGTAAATAACTTTTTCCCAGGCAGTGGGCATGGTGGCGGAGGTGGTGGTATCGGTGGCCATGTTGGAATAGCCGGGACATTGTTATCTTGCACAGATTCGTTGACTCTCGCCGGAGTTTCTATTTTCTGACTACTTCCTGATGATAATGAACTTGGCGGTGATGGAGAGGCAGATTCCTGAGACGTTGGTCCTCGAGGCATTTGCCGATGCAGAGGCACGTTGAGAGTCTGAATCTCAATTAAGTCAGGCGACTTGGGCATCGAGTCTCTGGAGCTCAAACTGTTTGCAGGGGAAAGGCTCAGAGAGACGGACCTCACGGGATGAGGAGCAAGTTGTGGAGGAATTGGAAGTAGACCGATTGAAATTCTCAATTTCCACTGCGGCAAAAGCTCTTCTAGAAGCTGATCCGGTGCCAAGGGAACTTCCCCTACCGTTCACTGAGTCTCTCGGCGAGTAAAACTCTTCGTCTTCATCGCCTCTGCTAGACGGTGCCTCCAATGATCTTGGACGACGCGGATTTGGACTTGGCGCCCAGGGAGGATACGTTGGCGGGGAATGAAGCGAAGGAGACAATCGTTCTACTTGACACATTCAAGAATTACTAAAGAAAATGAGAAAAATATTTCACACATGAAAATTACACAAATCAGAGGACATTCATCTGCAAAATCTGACAAAATATAAGGGAATTGAAAAATAATTTGAAATACTTAGTTACATAAAACCTTACACACATGCTAAAGAAAACATTGGAATATCGATGTGGCTAATGTAAATAGTAGGAAAAGACATAGATTATTAAATCCATCAACAAGCTCCAATATATCCATAGAAACTTTGAATTTGTAACATTAATAATCAGACAAACCGAAACAAAACGAAGTTATTAATACTACAAAGTTGAGAATAGTGAAAGCGTCAGGTAGATAATCAGACAAACCGAAACAAAGCGGAAGTTATTAATATTACAAAGTTGAGAGTAGTGAAAGCGTCAGGTAGATAATCAGACAAACCGAAACAAAGTGGAAGTTATTAATATTACAAAGTTGAGAATAGTGAAAGCGTCAGGTTCAGGTAGGGCGACGCATGGCATCGAACATCTGAGCCATGAGATCTACTTTAGACTGAAGGCGGGAGTGTGCAGCACGTTCTGCTTCCAATAACTTTGCCGTACGGCTTTCTCTCTGCCTCGCCAACTTCAGCCTCCCTTCAAGAATTTCCACCTTCTTACTCAATCCCCTATACTCATTGGAGTATACACATACACATCTTGACGGGGGACTCAGCAACACATCTATAGTAATCCAACATATACTAAAATAATCAGATTTTATTTAGATTTAAATGGCATTCATAATAATAATAAAAAGAAAAAAAGAAAACCTTTCTCAACACTGTGAATGGTATCCGTAGATTCCATGTGAGCAATGAGATCTATTTTAGACTGGAGGCGAGAGTGTGCAGCACGTTCTGCTTCCAATAACACTGTCGTACCGCTTTCTCTCGGCCTCGCCAACTTGAGCATCTCTTCAAGACTTTCCACCTTCTCAATCAGTTCCCTATACTCACGACATATTACACATCTTGACGGGATACTCAACATCACATCTATAGTACAATCTGCACCATCAATCCAACATATAGTACTAGCTAGATTAACCACATTTATTTACATTTAAAATGGGATTCATACTAATAATAATAATAATAAAGAAAACCTTTCCCAATTCCGCAGTCCGCTAAGGTTTTGCAACCATCAATCCGCCGACCGTCGAAAAGCAAAACATGGTCACACGTATGGATCCCTGAACAATGTGCGAAATCGGAAAACAAGAGATCATTACAAATTCCAGTAGATAACTGAACAAAAAAGACAGAAAAACTGACATTCTAGGGATTCAATCTCGCTCTGTACACTGCGAATGGTATCCGTAGATTCCACCTCGAGCTTTAGTGTTCTGCCAGACATAAGCCGGGCAAAAATCTGCATATTGCTCAGTAGCACGCGAACGATTAGAAGCTCTACTTCCGGTAGGCACCCAGTAATGTTCCAAGTTCCAACGATTTTGTTACACTGTTTGCAAATTAAGGAACAAACAATACATCAATACCTAATATTAGCTATTTTCACCCGGTTCTGAAGTCATAGTAAGTTTTTCACACCACCCAATAAAAAGCAAAATTTTTCACCCCAAAAAGTACGAAGACTGTTCTGCGATGAATATGCGAAGATTCTTCGGTCAATCGCGATCCGTCGCCCATTAAATAATTATTCTTGTTAGGTGAATGAATCTGCGACTATTAGTCGAAAAAATTATTCTGCAACACAACTGCGACATACCAATGTCGCATATTATTCGCAGAATTGGTGCATAATAAGTTTTTTTCGTATTTCTTTCATCTTTCAGTTATGCGAGGTGATATGCGAATTTACGCATATTGCTCGCAAGATGTTTGTTTTATGATTAAAAAAATACCACATTCGCACTTCTACTCGAAAGTTTATTTTTTATTTCTTTCATCTTTCAATTATTTCAGTTATGCGATGGGGTATGCGAATTGCCGCATAATGCTCGCATACCACATTCGCACTTCTATTCGAAAGTTTAATTTTTATTTCTTTCATCTTTCAGTTATTTCAGTTATGAGATGGGGTATACGAATTGCTGCATATTGCTCGCATACCACCTTCACACTTCTACTCGAAAGTTTATTTTTTTATTTCTTTCATCTTTCATCATTTAATTTAGATTGATTTTTTTCTTTCAGGTATGAGAAATGCCACATACATACAACAAACAAAAAAATTATAATAAAACGCAAAAAAAATAATAATAAAAATGTATTATATGAATCATTAAAGAACTGGGGCGGTAATTGTTTCTGGTTCTGTACTAAACTGAAAAATTTGTAGAGCAATTTTGCGCCTCATTTGCTTAGCCAACTGCTTGTTAGACTTGTTGAAACGCTTCTTCCTCGTGAGCAATGTTCGTACCATCTCCACAACGCATACACCATAAGAAATTCTATCATGTTGCAAGATAGTATTTTTGGGGTCCATGAATTCCAATTCGAGCTTTTTGCTCACTCCCTCTACTTCCGCATACGTCGCAATCATCAGAATTAGATTTTGGATTTTTTGGAGTCCTTCGACGCGTGATTCGCGAATGTGCTCGTTCTTCTTTTCTAAATATGTATGCCGTAGAGGGTCAAACACAATATCGTCCCCTTGAGTAAAGAGATCTGGACAGTCACGTAGTGCCGGGACAAATTTGTTGTAAGTATTTTTACCGGAGTAGAATCGAAAGATTCGACACCGAGTCGTATCGCAAGGAAGGTTAGCCGGATTATTAAGCACGTTTACTCAACACAATTAAAAGAAATAAAATTCCTAAATATTCTAAATCGAATAATTGGATGGGTTTTTAGTTATCAACTACTGCAAATAATTAAATAAAGCAGAGAAAGTAGTAAGCAAGGACGAAGAACAATTATGATAAAAGCGCTAGGGTATTGGGGATTTCGCTTCCGGTTCTCAATGCATTTAGCAAGCAATGAATTACTCGGCTAAAGGACTCAATAAACTAACTCATCCAGAGATTCATTCTCAATATCTCACGAAACAAGAGAATAAACATAAATAGATCATTAACGAATCAATTAGCACATAGACAATACGTTACCGAACAAGCCTATTCTTAACGAGCCTAGATCGAACAATTTATCCCCTTTCGGTTTCTAAATTGATTAATTAGATTAAGATGGAGATCAAGCATCCAAACCCTAGGTTAAGCACAACTCGAAAAGATGAGCAATTACCAAGCATTTAAACGAAATCGAACCGGACCGATAATCCCCTACCCCTAGCTAATGAATTTAGCTACTCATTATGCATTCAACATCAACATATTCAATAATCAAAGCCATCTCAAACGAAAGGAAAACGAAAGTAAAGCTTACGATTAACGAATCCAATGTCGAGAACAAGAGAAAAACCAAATCCAAGAGTCGAATCTCTAAGTTTTCACTCTCAAGATTGATCTCTAAGAGAAACAAGTGACAAATATGGGTTCTGGAACTTTTTTCGTATGAGAAAGAACAAAACCTAACATCCAACATAATGAAAAACGATCCCAAAATATAACTTAAAAAATCTGCAGGCCGCGACCCATCTTGCGGGCCGCGGCGAAGAGCTCCGCGGGCCGCGACCAACCCCCGAGGCCGCGGGAAATCCTAGACTGAAGTGTTGTATGGCTGCGACATTTGTTCGCCGCGGCCGCGGTGAAGGAACCGTCGGCGAGTAAAACTGGGCACTGGGGAGGTTTGTTCACCGCGGTCGCGGGAACATTGTCGCGGGCCGCGGTGAAGGATTTCGGTGATCCGACTGCGATTTCCGGCTCGAATCCACGCATCTGGACCCGGAATTGGATTCCGGCTTTTCCCACTCGACCCCAACTCATCCATCTATGTAGTAGTCCAGGCACGGTCATTCATCGAGCGATTCATCCTGCACACCACCACCGACAAGAAACGCACGGAAAACCGGAGAAGAGAAACAAAAAGACCAAAAACGAACAAAACAAAGGAAATGCAAGACAAGACTCAAAATGGAACGAAAACACTAACAAAAATGGAACGAACAACTCCCCCACACTAAAACCATTGTTCGTCCCGAACAATAAAAAGAAAAGAAAAAGCAATAAAACAAGCAAAGAGAGTGGACACCGGTTTCAAACGAGAAAAGTCTCAGATTGATCAACTAAGTTAAAAATAATTCCAATGATCTCGAGAACACACCTCAACAATGAACTCAATCACATGATAACACAAACTCTCTAGAATGGAGATATGATATAATGCCTCACTCATTTTCTTGCAAAAATAAAAGATGGAGCACTCAAATTGGTCGTCAGCCAAATCGATCTTACGCTTGCCTATCATCTAACCACTACTCTAAATCAATCAAATCAATGAGACAGTGAATCAAAAGGACTTTTATGGACGTAATGTAGGCTTAATGGTTCGGGTAAGATAAATATAGGTCAAGTGGCTCAAATATAGCATATAACACAACTCATCACTTCAACCATAATCATCAGCTCCGCCGGTATTAACCGGTCCTCCATCCTTCACCAAAACCAGCACACTTCCACATTATTATCTTTTTTTTATTATTTTTCTTTATTTATTTTTTTTTCTTTTTTTTTTGAAACCTTATGGACATCTTATCTAGGTTTAGCCATCGGGTTTTCTGCCCGAGTCTCCTAGACCGGTTTCCCGTACTCATTGCTCGTGACCGGTAATTGAACGGTTGGAGCAATTAGAGTATAATCCGTAAGTTTTTTTTTTTTTTAAATAACTTCGATAATCAACACCCTCACAACTTTGATATTCAACACGATCCACTTCCCAAACATTATCAACACGGGGTCAACAACGAAAATAAGAAGTAAGGCTCAAAGGGGGGAACTAGCGAAAATTATTTTCGAAAGAAGAAAAAGGATATACAAATAGCAAAGAATGCCTTTATCATGTTCACCTATCACAAATCCAATCAACTTATTTCACAGCAGACTCAAGGCAAGTTCTGATTTATTCAACCTTTAGACCAATATCGCACAAGAAATCAAAATGGCTCAAATCTCACCGGGTAAATATATATATGAGTGTTAATCAAAGCAATCGAGCCACAAATCAAAATATGCCACTCAAGATCATCATCACAACTTCTCAACGTCA